AGGAAATAGCAAACAAGAGGACTCCACTAGCAATAGTAAGGATATATTACTAAAAACAACTGGTGGGAGCTCCATTGTTGGTGTTAGGGAGGACAGGAATAAGACAGGTAAACATGCACCAACAGGGAATACAGTCACAGAAACCCAAGGCAAACGGAAACCAAGCCTGTGCACATACTATGCACTTGGTATCTGCAGACATGGGAAATCTGGAAAAACAGACGGGACGTGCAACTATGACCACCCTAGAAAATGCCGTGCCCATATGACAACAGGAAAATACAAACTCCCTTCCTGTACCTCTTCAGTACAGGAAAGACTGTGCTATAACTTAAATTGCCAGGCACACCATCTAAAGGGGACAAAAAGATACAAAACATCCAGACCATGGGAAAACCTGGGTAGCCACAGCCACTCAAGAGGGAGAGGTTTTTTAGTGCCAGGAAGGAAAAAAAAACTGGCAGGAAATGGCAGAAATCGTACACCAAATCCAGTCATTCCTGGAGTGGAACCACAGTCGATGGCCTCCACTCCAAACCAACAGATACAGATACTAATACCGGACAAAAAATCCCCCCCCAGTACCAACAATACCACCAGTCTGATGACATTCTTCTTTGCAAATATACAGGGTCTAAAGCCAGCAACAAACAACAAAATACCTTTCATCCGTGGACTGCTTGCAGAGGCAAAGGCAATGTTCGCGGCTTTCACTGAGACCCACATAAAGGATCACTTGGACAACGAAATATGGATCCCAGGTTACAACCTATACAGATGTGACAGAGTGAACAGGCAAAAGGGTGGGGTTGGCCTGTACATTGCAGAGTCACTTGTTTGCACAGAACTGCTTAATGCCTCAAATGTAGTGGAAGTTTTAGCAGTAAAGGTCGAGAACCAAAACCTAGTCATTGTGGTAGTCTACAAGCCTCCGGATGCAACATCCCAGCAATTCCAGGAACAGCTGTTAAAAATTGACCACTGTCTGGAAAATCTTCCAGCTCCTGCACCCAACATCTTGCTCCTGGGGGATTTCAACTTAAGGCACCTAAAATGGAGGAATATAGCAAATAATATTGTTGCAGTAATAACACCAGGAGGCAGCTCTGATGAAAACTCACACTCACACGAGCTTTTAAATCTCTGCACAAAATTCAGTTTAAACCAGCAAATAATAGAGCCTACTAGACTGGAGAATACACTAGACCTCATCTTCACTAACAATGATGATCTGATAAGAAATGTCACCATATCAAAAACAATATACTCAGATCACAACATTATTGAGGTTCAGACATGTATGCGCGGAGCCCCAGACCGACATAATGAGATTAGTCACGAGGGAGCATTCACCAAATTCAACTTCAATAACAAAAACATAAAGTGGGACCAAGTAAACCAAGTCTTAACCGATATAAGCTGGGAAGATATACTAAGCAACACAGACCCCAACTTATACCTAGAACAGATTAACTTGGTGGCACTCGTATGCACAAGGCTTATTCCTCTAAGAAAAAGGAGGAGTAGATGTAAAATAGAAAGAGACAGGCGCTCCCTTTACAGGCGACGGAAAAGAATAACAGAGCGGCTAAAAGTAGTCAATATATCTGAAATGCGTAGGGAGACACTGGTTAGAGAAATAGCAAGCATCGAACTTAAGCTAAAGGAATCTTATAGGAGTCAGGAATCGCGGGAAGAACTAAAAGCCATAAATGAAATCGAAAGAAACCCAAAGTATTTCTTCTCCTATGCCAAATCAAAGTCGAGAACAACATCCAGTATTGGGCCCCTACTTAAACAAGATGGGTCCTACACAGATGACAGCAAGGAAATGAGTGAGCTACTCAAGTCCCAATATGACTCAGTTTTTAGCAAGCCGCTAACCAGACAGAGAGTCGAAGATCAAAATGAATTTTTTATGAGAGAGCCACAGAATTTGGTTAACACAAGCCTATCCGATGTTATCCTGATGCCAAATGACTTCGAACAGGCGATAAATGACATGCCCATGCACTCTGCCCCAGGGCCAGACTCATGGAACTCCGTGTTCATCAAGAACTGCAAGAAGCCCCTATCACGAGCCTTTACCATCCTATGGAGAGGGAGCATGAACACGGGGGTCGTCCCACAGTTACTAAAAACAACAGACATAGCCCCACTCCACAAAGGGGGCAGTAAAGCAACAGCAAAGAACTACAGACCGATAGCACTAACATCCCATATCATAAAAATCTTTGAAAGGGTCCTAAGAAGCAAGATCACCACCCATCTAAAAACCCATCAGTTACACAACCCAGGGCAACATGGGTTTAGAACAGGTCGCTCCTGTCTGTCTCAACTATTGGATCACTACGACAAGGTCCTAGATGCACTAGAAGACAAAAAGAATGCTGATGTAATATATACGGACTTTGCAAAAGCCTTCGACAAGTGTGACCATGGCGTAATAGCGCACAAAATACATGCTAAAGGAATAACAGGAAAAGTCGGTCGATGGATCTATAATTTCCTCACTAACAGAACACAGAGAGTAGTAGTCAACAGAGTAAAGTCCGAGGCAGCTACGGTGAAAAGCTCTGTTCCACAACGCACAGTACTCACTCCCATCTTGTTCCTCATCCTCATATCTGACATAGACAAGGATGTCAGCCACAGCACCGTGTCTTCCTTTGCAGATGACACCCGAATCTGCATGACAGTGTCTTTCATTGCAGACACTGCAAGGCTCCAGGCAGACATCAACCAAATCTTTCAGTGGGCTGCAGAAAACAATATGAAGTTCAACGATGAGAAATTTCAATTACTCAGATTGGTAAAAACAAAAAATTTAAAATCTTCTTCAAGTACAAAACAAATTTGGCCACAAAATAGAGCGAAAACAACGTCAAAGACCTGGGGCGACTGTCGGGGGATTACCTTCAAGGCCATCATTGTATCAATCGCTCTGCTAGAAAATGACAGGTGGATAATGAGAACCTTCAAAAATAGGGGGGCCCAAGCCCACGATGACATCTTCAGGCACTTGTTCTATTGGGCGGAAATATTGCTGCACACAAACAGACCTTTCAAGGCAGGTAAAATTTGCTGCCCAGAAAATGTACGAGAACCTTCACGGCACGCAAAACGGGAAAAACCCTCAATTGGGGAGGCTTGGGGTTCCCAAAACCCGTTTCCCTGGAACGCAGGGGGGAGATACATGATTATAACCCCTGGAAAACCCTTTGGGGATGTACCAAAATTGCACACAAAAATCACTCATACGAAAGAAAAAGGTTTGGGCAACGATTAACATCCCCCAATGAAAAGCAGGGGTGTCACTAGATTTTAAGAGCCATAAAATAAGTGTGGGGGCCCGAGATGTTCAACTGCCCCCCAGCATACTTGGGGGGATTCCCACAGACCCCTGCCAGTCTTAAAGCTGCACTGGACAAGCCCCTAAAGCGGTCCTACCAGGGGCTGTGGCTCGTACGTTTTTGGTGCGCCGCAGTAAAAAAACCTGGTTTTATCAGGCTCTGATCCCCAAAGGGGGGCCTGGTCCCCGACCGGCGCGGGGCGTTGACCCCGGAATCTTCCAGTTTAAATCCAGGAAACCCTTTGTCATTTTGCTCATTCATTTACCACCCCGAGGCTGAAAAAGTTTTCCTAATATCTCTGTGTACTGGTTTCAGGTCAAAACAAATTCGGCCCCAAAATGACGAAACACCCAAAGCAAAGACCTGGGGTGTTCTGTCGGGGATCTCACCTTCAAGGCCATAAATTTTCGACGCATCTGCTAAAAATGAAGGAGGATAAAGAACCTTCAAAACGAGAGATGCCAAGCCCATGATGACACTTTTTCGGGTTTTTTTTCTACTAGGCGGGAATATTGCTCACACTAACAGCACCTTTAAAGGCAGGCAAAATTTGGGCTGCCCTAGAAAATGACAGAGAACCTTCATGGCGCGCTTTAACGGAGATAAACCCTAAATTAGGGGGAGCATTGGGTTTCTTGAACTGTTTTCCCCGGGAACGCAGGCGGGAGAATACATGTTTATATACCCGGGAAAAATCCTGGGGGAACTGTCCGAACTTGCACACGAAAATCACTCCTGGCAGGGGACAAGCACCTAAAGTCATTTCCCTGATCACCCGGGCTGTGGCCGTAGTTGGTTTGGTGCAGCCAGCAGAAACGCCGGGTTTTGATCAGGCGCTGATCCACCAGGGGGCCTGGTCAAGACCGGGCCGCGGGGACTTTCCCCCCAAAAACTCTCTCCAGGTAAACCCCAGGTAAACTAAAAAGCAAAAACTTGGCGACGATGCAACATCCCCCCAATGAAAAGCAGGGTTCACTAGCACGTTAAGAACCATACAATAAGTGTCGGGGGCCCGAGACGTTAAACTCCCTCCCAGCATACATGGGGTTTCCCAAACAGCCCCCTGGCAGTCTTCAAGCGGGCCCCATGGACAAACCCAAAAGTGGGTTTCCGATCAGCCGGCTGTGCTCGTATTTTGGTTTTTGCGTGCGCCACAGTAACCCCTGGTTGACAGGCTCTGATCCCCCAGGGGGCCGGGTCACAGCCCGGGCCCCGCGGGGGGTTGCCCCCGGAACTCTCCCCAGGTAAACTCCAGGTAAACCTCCCGCCCTTATGCCCCTATTTCAAAAAATCGCCCCTATTGCGCTGTCAAAGCCCTGATATCTTGTAGGTTTAATAAAGCTTCCCAAATTTTCTTACATTTAATCGTCAAGTTCATTTTTTTGCTTCCTCTTCATAACTCAGCCCCCTCAGTTCTGAGCGTGTGTTGTTTCGTGTGTAGGTGTTTGGGGAAAGGGAGGGGGTGGTAGGAGGGCTGTGCTTGCTTCACGGTGAACTAAGATTAGATAACATTATGTAAAATGAACTTTGTAAAATAAAGAGGCGTATGCATTTCAGAGGACCCGACGTTGGTTGGGGTAGCAGAGCCCAGGCTGGACTGGTCGCTACCCACACCTTGCCCCCTGCAGCACTAGCGCAATGTGTCGGGGCCCCTCAACTCGTCATCGACATTAACCATACCACTGTTAGTCACCTGTGTCCTTCAATTTTTTTTTTTATTTTTTGTTCCGGTGTGAGAGCTTCAGTTTATTTTACTGCAATTACCTTTCTGTAATTATTTGTAGTTACATATCGTAAAGACAAAAGAATCACGAAAGGTGATAAAAAATATTAGATATGGATGAAGACATTTATATACCGTTCAGGCCATTTATTAAAGGTGGCGGCTTCTTCAGTCCTAATAGAGAGTAAACTCATAAAGGATTTTATTTAGTGGCCTGGGGCAGCTGGCACCTACTTTTGACAGGTGTCAGTAAGTAGGGAACAGTGATACCATTACGACAGGTGTCAGTAAGTGGGTACATATGATGGCCGTTTTTTAAAAAAATGGGTAATGTTTTGGAAAATGAAGCCCCAAAGTTTTGTGGGACTAGTTTGGGGGTGCCAAGAGGCAGCTTCCCCCGCATTTCCGCCCCCCTGGTATTTCACGATTGATTTAAAGGCTTTATTCCATTTATCAGATGTTCCCGGGTCGACTTTTGGGGTGATGCCCCGACGTTAGACGGTTATCTTTACTGTAGGGATATTTCTGTTCATGAATTTAATTTCCAACATTCTAGCAGTTTCCATGCGTTTATTTACCACATTCCCAATGCAATGAGCACACTTGGGAGGTTTCCCATACACACTGAACAAAAAAAATTTTGGCTCCCTAGTAGAGTGTCAAAAAGGAATAGTCCAGCTACTTTACGTTCTTTGCAAATTAGTGGGGCTACTTGTTAATCAGGGAGAAAATATGAAAATTTTTATTGCACGGGCCAAAACAATGCGTCATCCACGTAATCGTCCGCTTGGCAGGGCGTAGTAAAATGGATTTTTTCTTGTTTTGTTGTTATTATGTTGTCTTGTTCATGTTTGTTCGTTTATTCCCGTTATGTTTCATTTTTCCTGCCTTAATACGGATTATTCCTACTTGATATTTTTTCTTGCCCTCTCCTGTGTTATGGAATATGACATCGTAGCATAGCTAGCTTTTGCTACCACAATGTAGTTCAAAGATGGATATTTTAGCCAAAAATGCGGATGTTTCCCGTCAATAACTTCGTATACAGTATAATAGGTGGGGGCCCCACACTAAAATTATATTAAATTTTAATAAAACTCTTCCACTGTCATACGCACAATCTCTCGCATAAAAAAAGGTTCAAGAATTATTATCTTCTATAACGTACATTATCTCTTTTTCGCCTTGTTCTTTCAAAATATAAAAGTTGTGTCACCTGGTGTGGCAGGTGTTGGTGGAAGCGCAGAAGCGAAGCCTGGTATTATTTCGAGGGAGAAATGGTTCCGGATCCGCTATCCGAGAGGAGGACCTTTGGCAGGGTGGGCTGCACATGCTGGTGATAAACCCACACACCAGCCAGGTCACCTTCAAGCCAGATGTTCCAGACGAGCGACTTTGGGGGTCACCGAGACCTCTCGTGGTCGCTGCGGACCATCCAGCACGGTAGACTTGTCGTCCTGACCTCCGTGGTGAGAATTATAAAAAATTTTGGTCGAGGGTACATATTGTACATATTGTAAAGAATAAGCTGTTCAGGAATTATTTTTTGTAACTATATCTAAATATAATCAACAGATATAAGAAAGCTTTTGTACTTTTGATAACACTTATGTTTTGATACAAGTAGCTTTATGGCAGTATAATATGGAACCAGTACTTCATGTACTAACAGTCTAGGCTACAACAGTCACTTTCATCCATTTCCTTACATGATAATGCGTATTACTTCGCCAGCACGATGGCTCGCTGCACTTGGGGCCAGCAAGGCAAAACCTCCACGCCCTTGGGTCTGAATGGGCACTCCACTACCTCTTCAGGGACTCCTGGGCATGGGTCTTCTTTATGGGTGGCAGAACCCTGGCGGAGACCATCAATCCTAACATGGGGAATTCGAGCGTAGCCGCTTCGCCTCTGATGCTGCGGGTCGAAATTCCCCAGTCGTCACCTGCAGAAAGCAGATTTGCAGAAACCGTAAGTCCTATCATGGAGAATTCGAGTGTGGCCGCTTTGCCTTTGCTGCTACGGGTCGAAGTTCCCCGATCGTCGCTTGGAGAAGAAATACTTACAGAAAGCATCGGTCTTAGCATGGAAAATTTCAGTGTGCCCACCTCGTCTCTGCTGCAACAGGGACAGAGTCCCATATCATTACATGAAGAACCATTTTCAGAAAAAGGGGATCAAAGATCAAAAATTCAAAAGGTCACAAAAGACCTGCCTGTAAAAGGCAAAGAACAAAAAGAGACGCCGAGGACTGGAGCAAAAGCGGAAGGAAGAGATAAAGAATTAAAAAAACATGAATCACTTAATGAGGAATCACTCTACAAAGGGAAAACAGGAAACACATTAGACACTATAGGAATGCTGGATAATAGTGATGACGTCGTGAAGAATGGCACCCAATGGGACCAGCACAAGAAAGAAGAAATCATGAAGAAGGACACGGTAAAGGCTGTCGATGAAGTGATGGAGGGTGAAGCCATGAGTGAGTAATTTAGCCTTTTTTGTGAACATGATTATAATAAAAACAATAATAACATGGAGTGATTCAATTTTGGATAATGCAAATGCTAATAAAAATATAAAGTGATGAATAAACAGATAAATAAAATTAAAAAAATGGAAATATTACAAATTCTGCCTGTCAGTTTTATGAACACTCAAATTATACATTCTTGGTGAAGGCCGAGTTGACATGACTGAACCCAAAGGACTAATAACCAATTATTCCGGTAAATTAAAATGTACGAATTCATTTTTCAGAAGCACGGCTGTGTAAGTACAACAAGGTAAGTACAGCTAGCTAAGTACAGCTAGGTAAGTGCAGTTAGATGTGTACAGTTAAGTAAGCACAGTTAGATAAGTACGGTTAGATAAGTGGTATTATGCATCGACAAGTATGCTAACAAGACACACTGTCCCATAAACCGCATATTGTTTCTTAGTAACACACACCTAGATAAATACACTCATGCTCCGCCATCCAAAACCTACAGGAATATGCAATTTACCTTTGGCTTGTGTTAACGAGCACTGTTCTCTTTATAAAAATACAAATACCATATATTTTGGGATGTTCTGTACAGTATCTTGCACAGGTCTATAGCTAGCCCACCAGTGTGTCTTGACGACAAAGTCTGGTGTGATCTGATGACCGGGAATGGAGTGGTCTTGACGACTAGGTCTGTTGTGGTCGTCGCATCTGGTAGGACGTAGTCTTAGTAAGTACTTAGTTGTTCTGTATCCCTCGGTAACATCGTCTTTCTACTTCTGACGGAGGGATTTACAGCAGCAATAGAATTCACCATTTACCGACCTTCCGTACCATTAACTTTAATGACACACTCACCCCAGCGTGAAAAAAAACTTACTCTTCCCATAAAAAATAAGCAGTAATTGTGTGGCGTTTCAACATTTTTTCCTGCCAAACGGGAGGTTGCAACTACAATAAGTGGTGGTGCAGGAGGTAGTACCAGTGGAAGGGGGGAAGGAGTTACAGCCAGAAGCGGCGAGGCGGGTGTTCTGTACTACCCAGAGGGCCCTACAGTGACCTATGTTACTGTGAACCCCTTTCCCCTGGCCCGAGATACCCCCCCACACCGCCCGGGGTTAGTTTTCATTTGATTTGCACTCGTTTTACCTGGATTCGATTCCCTGCCACAAAAAAATCGAACTGGCAATTTCCTTTCACTAAAAAGGGGTACTGTTGGGGATTACATCCGGGGAAAAAAATGTCCTAAAAATCCGGCCTCTTAAAATATCTTATCTTGTGAAGAAAACACTCAAATCGTGTGTAAGGAAATTACAATACGCGGGAATTTTTAAATTTTTGAGAAAAGGCATCCGTCTACCTAAGGTTTTTAAAAAAAAAAATTCATTGAGATAGGGAATTTTCGTAATAAAAACGGGTTTTTTGGAACCCGGGCCCTTTTTAAGCTTTCAACGTAGCGCTAAAACCTATAGGGGGATATAATGAATCCTCCCCCCTACTAAAGTTCATCACGTATGCAACCCACCTTGTGTGATGAAATATAAGAAACAAAGCTAATTGTTCCCACAATGAAATAACTATGTAAGATTACAGAGGAGCACACTACAATTGTCCCCCCCAACTTTAGAAAAATACAAAAAAATAGTCCTCCCCCCAGCTGTCACACACCCCCCCAGACTCGCATACAAATACAAACAAGCAAAAATGAACAGACCCCACACACACCCCACACCCCAACCCCAACACAACACACCCCCGGGTTTCAGGGAGAGTGTCTAGTAGCAAACCAGTGAAGAGGCGGGCCGGAGCGGGGACCGACCCCTGCAACCTCAATAGGGAGAACACAAAACAATACGCATACAAGAAATATCAAACAGCTGTAAAAAAGCTTCCCCACATTATAGTACACCCACATTATAGTACACTTAGGAAGCCAGAAGTTGGGAAATTTTCTCAGGCTGAGAGAAATTTAAAAAAAATTTAAGAAATAAATTAAAAAATAAAGGAAAAATTCAGGAAAATTATAGAAATAAAAAACCCCCCCCCCCCCCCCCCCCCCCCCCCCCCCCCCCCCCCCCCCCCCCCCCCCCCCCCCCCCCCCCCCCCCCCCCCCCCCCCCCCCCCCCCCCCCCCCCCCCCCCCCCCCCCCCCCCCCCCCCCCCCCCCCCCCCCCCCCCCCCCCCCCCCCCCCCCCCCCCCCCCCCCCCCCCCCCCCCCCCCCCCCCCCCCCCCCCCCCCCCCCCCCCCCCCCCCCCCCCCCCCCCCCCCCCCCCCCCCCCCCCCCCCCCCCCCCCCCCCCCCCCCTTTTCCCCCCCCCCCCCCCCCCCCCCCCCCCCCCCCCAAACCCCCCCCCCCCCCCCCCCCCCCCCCCCCCCCCCCCCCCCCCCCCCCCCCCCCCCCCCCCCCCCCCCCCCCCCAAACCCCCCCCCCCCCCCCCCCCCCCCCCCCCCCCCCCCCCCCCCCCCCCCCCCCCCCCCCCCCCCCCCCCCCCCCCCCCCCCCCCCCCCCCCCCCCCCCCCCCCCCCCCCCCCCCCCCCCCCCCCCCCCCCCCCCCCCCCCCCCCCCCCCCCCCCCCCCCCCCCCCCCCCCCCCCCCCCCCCCCCCCCCCCCCCAAACCCCCCCCCCCCCCCCCCCCCCCCCCCTTCCCCCCCCCCCTCCCCCCCAATTTTTTAAAAATTTAAGGGTTTTTTAAACCGGGTTTGCCCCCCCCAAAAATAATCTATGGTAGAAGAATAGGTCCTAAAAACCAAAAAAAAAAAAAAAATCAGTTCACTGTAGATAAAGAGGCGAGTGTGTTAATATTTCAAGGAATACCTAGAAGACAAGTGTCTTCTAAGCCATTCAGGAAGAAGAAAGTGTCAGGCTAGAAAAAGTGGTAAAGAGCTCGCCAAGGATCAGTCACAGGACCCATACTCTTACAGATACATAGGAAAGACTTAAAGAAGAAACAGACGCCTCCATTTTGTTGCATGTTCCCTGACAATGAAAAACTGGCGAGGAGAATATGAAGACTAAAAGTTTCAATACTGTGTCTCGAACAATTCAGCATTAGCTCACAAATAAAGAAATAAATCTACAGACGACGTTTTGTAACTTAATATTGATACGGAACGAACTGAAAAGTCGTCTAAAGATTTATCTGCTATTTATGGTTTAATTTTGAATAGATGCGAGCTCAAAGCGATAGCAAGACACTACAAGAAGATGTGAACAAGCACAGGGATGCTCTAAAACTTGTTGTTGCACATCAATCCAGTCAAGTGCAAAAGAACAGAGGATGGGAAATGGGGAAGGCAAATAACAACGAGCTGGGAAATGGCGACCAGCAACAAAGTACTTCTTAGTAGGAAAGAAACTGCAGGCATCGGAAAAATAAAAGTATCTGAAGTTACACATCACACCCAATCTCTCCTCAGAAGCCCACATGAACCGAATTACATCAGCTGTGAATGTATGAATGACAAATGTAAAAATTGTCTTCAAGAACCTAAACAAGTAGCTGTTCACAACATTGTAAGCTACACACGTATACCTGGAGTATACCTGGAGAGGGTTTTGGGGGTCAACGCCCCCGCGGCCCGGTCTGTGACTAGGCCTCGATGTGTATCAGTGTCTGATTAACCATTCTGTTATGACTGGCAGCACGCAAGCCGACGTATGAACTACAGCCCATCTGGTCAGGTACTGATTTCAGGTGCCTGTCCAGCGCCTTCTTGAAGACAGCCAGGGGTCTATTGGTAATCCCCCTTATGAATGCTGGGAGGCAGTTGAACAATCTTGGGCCCCTGACACTTATTGTTTTATCTTAGCGTACTCGTGGTGCCTCCGATTTTCACTGGGGAGATGTTGCATCGCCTGCCGAGTCTTTTGCTTTCGTAGGGAGAGATTCTCGTGTGCAGATTTGGGACTAGTCCCTCTAGGATTTTCCAAGTGTATATTATCATGTACCTTTCTCGCCTGCGTTCCAGAGAGCACAAATCAAGAGACTCCAACCGTTCCCAGTAATTTATGTGCTTTATCATACCTATACGTGCCGTGAAAGTTCTCTGTAAATTCTCCAAGTCTGCAGTTTCGCCTGCCTTGAAAGGGGCCGTTAGTGTACAGCAATATTTCAGCCTAGAAAGAACAAGCGATATGATTACTCTTGATTATGCGACACCACTATAGTTTTCAAATAGTCAAGCACATACAATCTACAGCAGGGTTTCCCAAACTTAGTACAGGTATCCCCCAGGGGTACATATGGACTAAACACGGTACGAGTGGGGTTAGAAACCACGGCAAGTGAGTCTTAAAACTCCAGGCCAGTACGAAAACACTTCTCATAGGGTACATAATGGTCTGAGAGAGGAAATAGTTAGTCTGATACCTTATGTTTAGTACTGTGACAATTTCTACATCAGAATCCATCTACGAGTGACATATTCAAAGAATTAATCACTGAACATCTTATGAAACTGGAAGAGGAACTTTAAGGGTATTTCCCAAACCTTAGTGAAGTTGGATTAGTGTGTCTTCGGAATCCTTTCACCGCAAATGCTCTGGTGTTGCAGGCTGGGGCAGGTATGCAAGAGGAGCTGCTAGAACTCTAGCTTGATTATTCTGCACGTGATGCATATTCTGAGAAAAATTTGTGATAGAAGCATTGACAGAGTACTTTGGTATTTGGGAAGTGAAACAGTTGAACGAGACGGAAAAAGAAATAGGGAAAATAAACCCTAGACAATAATTAAAACAAAGACATGTTAAAAACTCAAAAAAAAAAAAAAAATGGAAAAACAACTACGCCTGTCAACTCAATATTATTAAGAAGCAAGACTAAGATCCACATTTAAGAGACGAGCCCAGGAACTGGAGCTAAACCCCAGCTACGTGAATAAATAAGTGCACAAACATAGAAACACTGTTTTATGACAAAGAAAAAGCAACCCCGACAGCATGTTGCAGCACCTTCAAACCTTCAATCATCACCCTAACATTGTATAATATCATAATTATAAACTGTACACTGTGGCTGCATTTTTCTTAAATATTTTTTTTATATTTTATACAAAGAAGTTCGAGCGGATATACATAATCTGACAAATACTCTGATATATACGCCAGTAATTATGCAATGCATTATCGGGCACACTAATCATAAGGCTTACATGATGCTTCAGTCTAGAACTAACAAATTAGTCAAGACAGCCTGTGTACTTTGCTATAATTACAAGTACAACAACGAGGCAGGTTGCGAATGATAATTTATTAACTGTGCAGCAAATTTGCAAAAGAAATCAGCACTATATTTATCTTTTTTTCTCTACTTACATTGCAAAAATTAATTCTTTACAACTATGTGATCGTGAGATGGTACAGAAAATCTGGCATAATGTTTGTGTTCCACAGCCCCACTGGAGAGAAGATATCCCCATCATCATTCTGGCTGGCAACAGAACCCGCTATCTCTACAGGTAAGATAGAACCCATTATCTGTACAGATGAGACAGGACCCTCTCGATTGTGTGGGTAAATTTTTAATAGGTTGAAAGAGTTCAAAACTCTCCTGACCCTATCTGAGCGCTTAGTTAATTTCCTATCTTTTTTTATGCAGCCAATACCCATTCTGTGGGCAGTAGTTTAAAGATTAGAGTCACATAATGTGTCCAGAAAGTGGGCCCCAATTTTTCGGTAGTATAGTTTATATGTGGTCTTGAATTATATATATTCATATTCATATAGTTTATTTGGACATGATACATAGTTGTACAAGGAATTATAGTAGTTGGGTGTACATGCCAAAAACTCCTTGTATGCAGAGCATTATGGGCAGGCTTAAAATTAACTTAAAATTAACTAAGCAGTGAAAGGTTCAGTGTATACAAATTACCGTAAACAGTTTACAATATGAAGTACAATTGAGTATTTGAAACAATGATATTTGAACATTTCGACATTGAAGCATTATAGTTGTACAAATTTGACGTATTACAATGTAATACGACAAGATGATCAATTTACTGTATGCTGTCTTGAAGTAATTGGGAGAATTATTGGTAATGTTAAATATTGAGTGTTGATTATTTAGTCCTGGGCGAGTAAGTGGTTTTTGAGAAGAGTCTTAAATTGATTTTCATGCCTGGTTACTTTAGTATGTTCTGGTAATGAATTCCAAATTTTGGGGCCCTTTATGTGCATAAAGTTTTTACACAGTGTGATATGGACACGTGGTACATCAAAAAGAGATCTGTGTCTTGTGTTATGGTCGTGTGTCCTGTTAAAGTTGGTGAGGAGAAGTTTGCGTGTATTGTTCTATGTATGTAGTAGGCACATGAATAAGTGTGGCTGTTCTTTATGGTGAGCAAATTTAGACTTTTGAATAGAGGCAGATTATTATTATTATAATCAAGGGGGAAGCACTAAACCCGTAGGATTATACAGCGCCTATGGGGGGATGGAAGGCATTCAGGCTTAATTCAGGGAACTGGAGCACAGATCCAACTGGAGCACAGATCCAATTCCCTAGATCAAGAGCCCCTCACCAGCGTCAAGGAGCCTTCCTTGAGGGGTAATAGAGGCGGAGTATGCTGTCGCGAGTGGAAATTTGTTATGATTCTGATTGTAGCCTTTTGCTGGGTTATTAGTGGCCTACCTACTTGCTGCTACCTACTTGCTGCTACCTACTTGCTGCTAGGTGAACAGGACAACAGGTGTAAGGAAACGGGTCGAAATGTTTCTACCCCGCCGGGAATCAAACCCGGGCCCTCCGTGTGTGAAGAGAGAGCTTTGCCAGCCAGGCCAGTTAGTAAGAGTAGGCTGCCCATACTGCAGTCACTCTTTTGTTTAAAAAAAATATCTGTTAGAAAGAGAAGACATTGAGGTGTGTAATTTAAAAGCCAAATAATTTCTGTATCTCCGTGGGATATTATAACCGTTACGTTGGTTCCTTTCAGATGTAGAAGGTAGGCCAGCAGGCGGGTTTGCAGGCCCAGCGCAGTGCTGCTAGTACAGATGGTGGTAGATGATGTGCTGAGCTGCACACATCCTGCAAGTCAACTCTTTGTTTCAAAAGTAAATTACACTATCTGTCAAGAAAACGTTACACGTCATCATCACAGGTAACAAACCTGTTACACGTCATCAATCCACATACCATGTTTTCATTCATAGTAACACAAGCTGTTACGTATCTCCATCATACACATTTACACGTTCATCACTGTGCACACTTGTATCTCATCACAGGTAACACAACCGGTTACACGTCAGTCATCACAAGGCTCTAACAACCTGTTACATACGTCCATCAAGTCACACGTTCACACATCTGCAAGTCACTACACGTCATCATTCACAGGTAACACAACCTGTTACACGTCATCATCCACAGGTAACACAACCTGTTACACGTCATCATCCACAGGTAACACAACCTGTTACACGTCATCATCCATAGGTAACACAACCTGTTACACGCCATCATTCACAGGTAACACAACCTGTTACACGTCATCATCCACAGGTAGCACAACCTGTTACACGTCATCATCCACAGGTAACACAACCTGTTACACGTCATCATCCATAGGTAACACAACCTGTTACACGTCATCATTCACAGGTAACACAACCTGTTACACGTCATCATCCACAGGTAACACAACCTGTTACACGTCATCATTCACAGGTAACACAACCTGTTACACGTCATCATCCATAGGTAACACAACCTGTTACACGTCATCATTCACAGGTAACACAACCTGTTACAGTCATCATTATCAGGTATCACAACATGTACCGTCATCATTCACAGGTACACACTATTACACGTCATCATCCACAGTAACACAACCGTACACGTGCATATCCATAGGACACAACCTGTTACACGTCATCTTCACAGGTAAACTTACTGTTTTAAAGTCAACGCATGGTAACACAACCTGTTACACGTCATCATCACAGGTAACACACCTGTTACATCGTCATCTCCACAGGTAACATACCTGTTACACGTCATCATCACAGTAACACACCTGTTACACGTTTCATCATCCATAGGTAAACAATACCTGTTACAGTCATCATTCACAGTAACACAATGTTAAAATTCGTTATCGTCATATACAGTAGCCAATATAGACATTCATACCAAGTCGTAACACGACGTTCACGTCATCAGTTATCGGTAAAAACCTGTACAGTCATCATTCACAGGTCAGCAACTGATCATCTCAGTATATCATAAGTACCAGTACAGTGTAAGGATAAAAGTCCAATATAAGTATCATTTTGTTGGATTATCTTTTTTCAGAAAATGTAGCTTTATTCAACTTTACGTCTCAAAGTCAGAAGTTACTGTACATCGACAGACATTCTCGTTTAACCTTATCTAGCATAAGGCATTAGCAATTAAGGGAATTCATTATCTTCTCACAATGTATTTTCAACTTCTTCAATCAAGTTGCAATCATAGCCTTTATTCTCTCAGTACAATGTCAAGGTTTCAGTATTTCTGGTCAATCATTCAGGTAGTTTATCATGTATAAAATACAGTGTACAGAGGGTATGGCCAGTAAAATTTACCCTAGGACACCTAGCATGGCTAGGCATTTCGGGCAGATTTAGATAATTCTTACTCTAAATTATTACAAATTATGGAGTAAGTTGGTATTATGGCTAAGTGACTAAATACTAGTTTGTGAGTTTAGCAATGTGAATTCTTTTGTTTTGGCACAGTACATAGTTTCTATATTGGAGTATCACAGGCAAACTTATGACTAGTTAGGATTCATTATTTTAAGATTAAGATTCGTATTTCTGTGTTTATAATCAAATGAGTGAGTGAGTGAGTGTAAGTGTGAACCACCAGGTGGTTTTCATGTAGTTAGTTGACGGGGTGTATCAGGGAGATAAGATGTTTTCTAACGGTAGTTTTGAAGGTGATGAATGTGTCTGCAGTTCTAGAGTTTTCAGGTAGGGTGTTCCAGATTTTAGGGCCTTTGACATACACCCCCTACTCACACTTTCTCTTTCCTCAGGCCGGAGGGACAAGGAGCAGCCCGAGTATCCCGGAACTTGCGCTTCGCTTTCTTCAGCGCCCTCAGGATCTTTCCCCGAGCGGACAAATTCATACTACTTGAGGATGACCTTGTGCTTTCGCCAGATTTCTACTCGTAAGGTCCTTCCTTGTAATTTGATTCATAGGCAGCGCTAGAACAGGGTAACCGCAAACTGAGGAAATTCCCACAATGAAACTATCAGATGTATACTGCATATGCAAGTAATTTTGTTAGAAAAAAAAATCCTCTATGCAGGTACATGCAGCAGAGCGGATGGGTGCTGGACAACGACCCCTCAGTGTACTGCGTATCTGCGTACAACCACTTCTCTTATGACCACACCGCCCATGACCCTAGCCGTGTCTACCGCGTGCATAGCTTCCCTTCCTATGGCTGGATGGTCACCAGAGACACCCTCGCTTACATCCTTCCCAAATGGCTTCCCAGCAACATAGTAAGGAACTTATTTAAAAGTTACGGTTCACGCCCATCACTGAAAGAGAAGAAGCAGTGGCGGCGACAAGGAAAAAACAAGGAAGAGGCAGCTTCAAGACAAGTCTCCTTGCTAGAAACAAATGATGTCCAGGTGACATGTGGTGAAAGACCCAACTGCAGACAGAAACTTCATTGAGACGTTTCGCCTCTGGGTGAAAGACGCCTGTGTGCAAACGAAAACTGAAGTTCCTTCCTGCAGTTGTGCCCTTTTTTTCACTCCAACTTTCCCAGTCCCCTTCAAGTCAGATTGTCACCTAAGCCCCTCCAATATGGGTGTATAAAGAGGTGTGTGTGTGTGTAATTACCAATTTGTGGTTGCAGGGGTCGATTCACAGTTCCTGCTTCCCTCCCCCCCTTCGCTGGTCGCCACTAGGTCCACTCCTTGTTCCACGAGCTTTATCGTATCTCTTCTTACAGTTATGTATGGCTCCTGCCTCCACTACATCACTCTCTAGAATGATCCATTTCCTGACAACTCTATTGCTGAAGAAAAACTTCCTAACATCCCTGTTACACATCCGAGTCTTTAGCTTTCAGTTGTAACCCTTCGTTGCTGTGTCCCATCTCTGAAACATTCTGTCCCTATCCGCCTTGTCAATTCCTCTCATTATTTTATATATCGTCGTTATCATGTCTCCCCATCTCTCCTGCCCCCCAGTGTCGTCAGGTCAATTTCCCTTAACCTTTCCTCGTAGGACATACTCTAATTTCTTGACGTGCTTGACCAGGTATGGGTTCCATACTGGTGCTGCATACTCCAATATGGGCCTGACATACACGGTGTACAGTCTTGAATGATGCCTTGCTAAGGTGTCGAAACGCTTGCCAGGGGCCCATATGCAGCAAGTTATTTGGTTGATGTGCGCCTCAGAAAATATGCTCGGTATTATATTCTAAGATCCTTTTCTTTGAGTGAGGTTTGCGGTCTTTGGCCCCTAGCGGTCTTCTTTGACCTTCCCCAATCTTCATGACTTTGCACTTAGTAGGGTTAAACTCCAGAAGCCAGTTGTTGGATCCTCATCCATTTGAATTCTCCGCATTAGCTTCACGTCGTTTGCAAACAGGGACACCTCTGAATCTATACCCTTCAGTCCTGTCATTCACATATACCAGAAACAACACCAGTCCTACTGTCCTAGGATTCACCCTTGTAGAACCCTGTTCGTCATAGGCGCCTACTGTGACACCTCATCACGTACCATCACTTGTTGTTTCCTTCCTGTCAGGCTTTCTCTGATCCATTGCAGTGCCTTTCCGGTTATTCCTGCCTGCTGCTCTAGCTTTTGCACTAATCTCTGGAGCGGAACTGTGTCGATATCCTTCTTACAATCCAAGAAAATGCAACCTACCACTTCTCTCTCTCTCTCCTGCCTTACTTCTGTCATCTTGTAAAACTCCAGTGGGTGTGTGACACAGGAGTTTCCCTCTCTGAAAACATGATGATTATCGTGTATAGGCTCATTTCTTTTTAGGTGCTCCGCCAGTCTTTTTCTGATAAACTTTTCCATGAGTTTGCATGCTATACATGTCAGTGACACTGGTCTGTACTTTAATGCTATCTGCCTATCTCCTTTCTTAAAGACTGGGACTACATTTGCTGTCTTCCACACCTCAGGTAGTTGCCGTGTTTCGATAGATGTGCTGAAGATTGTTGTTAGTGGCACACACAGTGCCTCTGCTCTCTCTTGCAGGACCCACAGAGAGGCATTGTCTGGTCCCACATTATTATTATTATTATAATAAAAAAAGAAGGGCCATACAGTGCTGCTCTGGTCCCACAGCCTTTGAGACATCTAGCTCACTTTGCAGCCTCTTCACATCCCTCTCGATTGTGTGTAGTATGTCCATCACCTGTTGGTGTACTGTACCATTCCGGTCTACTGTAGTCCAGTCTGTCTCTACTGAAAATACTTCCTTAAATCTCGTATTAAGCTAATCACATGCTTCTTTGTTGTTTCCTGTGATCTCCCCTCCTTTCTTCCTCAGCCTTATTACCTGGTCCTTGACTGTTGTTTTCCTCCTGATGTGGCTGTGCAACAGCTTTGGACCATTGCACCTTGCCTTTGGGGCCCAGCCCTTTGCGTAACAAATATGGGCCTGTTGTTGTTGGCACTGGTGTTTTCCACCCTTGACGCTGGAAATGGAAGCTACCCTCCCCTTTCTTTGATCGGACCTAAATGCCTCCCTCTCCCAAATTGTTGATAATTATTATAATAAAAAATAAATAATTATAATAATGTCATTAATATATTAATATTATAATTATAGTACCATAAAAAGCTAAATCCATATGAGTCACGCATTGCTAGAGAAGGAAAATACCAAATTAAACTCTCTCTTAGACTCACGACTGGGATTACTTCCTTGCGACGAGCGTCATGAGGCGAGGTCGTGAGTGCCTGGTGCCAGAGGTAAACCGTGCCTACCACGGTGGTGGCACTGGTGTACATCTCAGCGCGTCTTGGTCTACTGAGAGAGACAAAACCTCTCAAAAAACCCTTTTTAATAAAAAAATCCCAAACTTTTCCCCCTCATCCCAGTTCCCCCAAAGGTTCCGGTCCCTTTTCCCCTAAATTTGAAACAACGTTTTTGTTTAAAAAAAGATTTAATTTTGGGGTTTCTGGGGTGGTGGTTTTTTAAAATTGGGGAAATTTCCCAATTTTTTGTTAAAGAAAAATTAAAAAAAATTTAGATCCTTTTCCCAAAACTGCCAGAAAAGATTTTGTAAAAATAAAAAGGACCCAATATTTAACGAGTTTGGGCCCACTCAAACCCCAGTAAGCTAAAACCAAAGTCAACCGAAAAATTTAAAAAAACCCAAAAAGGGTTACCCGGGAAAAGGGTTTAATTTCCCGGGGACAACGCCCCCGGGGGCCCGGCCCGGGCCATGACCCAAAGGCCTCCCCCTGATGGAAATAAAAGGGCCTGATCAGGGGCTTGGAAAAGGAGTTTCCCTCGCTGCAAGGGGCCATGACGGTATCAGGCCAACTCTTTAAGCTCGGGCGGGCACCCGTTCTCCCCTTTTGTTTTAAAGTTTACCCCAATTTGGGGTGGGGATAATTTCTTTGGAAATTTTAATTAACAGTGTTAAAAACAAAAAATTTGTTGCTATTTTACAGGCTTTTTTGGCAGGAGGTTTTGAGGGGGAAAATTTTGGGGCCCCCGGTTTTGCTTGGGGGAGGGCCGGGTCCCGATTGACGTTAACCCGATGCTTTTGGGAAGACAAAAAAATTCCCTTTTTTCCTCACGGGGAAAGTGGGGGGGGGAGGAGAAGGGAGGGGGAAAAAGAGGGGGAGAGAGAGAGAGAAAAGGGAGAAGAGGAGAAAATGGGAGGGGAGAAGGGAGGGAAGAGAGAGAGAGAGGAGAAGCGGGCGGGACAGTAAATGGAAAAAAAGGGGTCTTTTTTTTATTTTTTTTTAAACAAAACGGGCCCCGTTTTTCCCACCAAAGGCAGGGGGCCCGAAAAAAAAAAAAACTTTCAACCACGATTCACCTCCATCCTGCTTGCCAAAAGGGGTCCCTTTAAAAACTAAAATTTTTTTAAAAACTGAAACAATCCCCCCTCCTTCAGAGTGAGGCCCCGGAAATTCCCATTTTCCAGGATTTCCAAAAGTCCGGCCTGCCGGGGTTTCCCCTAAACCCCCTTTCCCTTTTTAAAATTGTTACTTTGTTCAAAACTCCAACGGGCCAACGTAAAGTATTAAAAAACCCATTTTTTTTTCCATTCATTTCCTATAAAAAACACGTTCACGAAAACCTGCGGAAATCCAAGCCCCTCCCCCAAAAAACCTCCTTTACCCCCTCCCTCCAACCTTTCCTAGGGCCAAACCCCTAAAACCCCCCCTTTCCCTTTCCCCTACGACTTTTATACACTTTGAAGTCACTCTGTTTTGCTCCATTTCTCTCTACATGTCCGGAACCACCTCCCAAAAAACCCTTCCTCAGCCCCCGGGGCAAAAGTTTTGGAATCCCGCCCCCTTTCCCAACTTCCCCCAAATTTCGTTTTTTTTTTCTTTTATTCACACCCCACATTTCCCCCCAGAACATGAACCTTTTCCACTGCCCCAGCCTTCTCCTCGCTGCAAACATTTTATCCCCATGCTTTTACACCCATATAGGCATTTGGGAAAACTATACTTCATTCTTCCCCTCTTTGCCTCCCAAGGGGCAAAGTTCTTTGTCCCACGACTCCTAAGTGCACCACTTTACCCTTTTCCCCTCATCAATTTTATGATTTACCTCATTTTTTCATAGGGCCCCTCCGTGACACGTCCCCTCCCAAAAAATCTAATACATTCACCTCCTCCATAAAACTCCCCCCTCCAATCTGATATCTAATCTTTTTATCACCTAATTTTTTTTGTTATCCTCAAAACCTTAAATCTTTCCTTATTCCTTTTAATTTTCTTTTTTACATTTCCCTACCCAAAAACATTTCCCCAATCTCTGCAACTTCTCTTTTAGAAAACTTTCCCCAAAAGCCCCGTGTCCCTCAGCCCAAAAAGCCCCCTGTGAAATCCCACTTTTTGTGTGATTCTTTTCTTTTAACTCCACGCCTTTGCCAAGACCCTTGCATTTCTTCTCTTTCAACCCCAAACTATTTAAAAATAAATTTTAAAAAACCACGGGGAAAATCACCATCCTTTTTCTAAAGGGCCCACTTTTAAAATGGGAAAAAATTTTTTCCCTCTTTCCTACATACTCTTTAAATTTTAGTCACTATCCCGTTTTAAAAAAACCCTTTACTGGTTTCAGTAAAAACCTTTTCTCCTATTCAAACCCGCAACATCTGCCCCATTTCCCCCCCATTCCCCCCCTGTCATACCCCCCCCCCTTTTCCATATCCATAAATTTCCCCCAAAGACCTCTTTAAACCCTTTTTAAATAATGTTTAAAATTAAATTTTTCACTTTTAAAAAACCTGGGCCCCACCCCCCCCCCCCCTTTCCCCTTTTCCCAAAACCTCCTTGTTCAACTGCTATCCATTCTCCTCTTAAATCTTAAGTCTTTCAATTTAAAAACTCTACCTACACTTTACCAGGTATAAATCAACAGACTTTTTCCCCCTATAATTTTTTGCACTCTCTTTTGTCCCCCTTTTCCTTTAACAAAGGAACTTTTGCATGCTCTTGCCAAACCCAAAGGGACCTTAAACCCCCATCCTTTTCATTTTTTAAATAATTGAAAAACCACCCCCAAAAATAAAAACCCCCCCCTGCTTTTTTTCATTTCTTTCTTATCCCAATTTAATCCCCGGCCCGCCCCTTTTCCCACTTTAAATTTTTCCTACGGGCCCCACGAACTTCCCCCACACTTGAACTGGCAATTTTCCCCACTCCTACAAGATGTTTTCCCCTTTTCCCTAAAACACGAAAACACAGCTTCCCTATCTTCATTTAACATTTAAAAAAATTCCTTTAAAAAATTCCCTCCATCTTCCCAATACCTCTATCTCCTTTTTAAAAACTCTCCTCTCCTATTTTTTAAATGGGGCAAATCCATTTTTTTTCTCTAGGCTTCCTTTAAATTGTTAATTCACTCCCAAAAAATTTTTTTTTATTTTCAAAAAAAAATTTTTTTTGATAACCCTCTCACCCACTCTCTCATTTGCTCCCCTTTTTACATTGGGTTCACCACTCTCTTAACCTCTCTCCTTTTTTTCCGTTTTACTCTTCCCTCCTTGCAAACACCGACCCCATTGCCTATGCTCTCATTAGCCTGGAGTTTACCCGGAGAAAGTTTTTCCGGGGGGCAACGCCCCCCCGGCCCCCGGGCTGTGACCAGGCCCTCCGGGTGGATCAAGCCTGATAAACCAGGCTGTTGCTGCTGGCTCCCGCAAACCAACGTACGAGCCACACCCCGGGCTGTCAGGAATGACTTTAGGTGCTTGTCAGTGCCGCTTGAAGATGCCGGGGTCTGTTGGTAACCCCCCTTAGGGTGTGCTGGGGGGAGTTAACAGCCTGGGGCCCCTAAAACACTTTTGTATGGTCTCTTAAGTGCTAGTGACACCCCGCTTTTCTTGGGGGGATGGTGCATCGTCTGCCAAGTCTTTTGCTTTCGTAGTGATGATTTTCGTGTGCAAGTTGGTACTAGCCCCTCTAGTTTTTCCGGGTTATTAATCATTATCTTCCCCCCTCTTCCCCGGGGAATACAGTTTGGGAAACCCAAGGCTCCCGTAATGGGGGTGTTTTATCCCTTTAGGGCCGCCTAAAGTTCCTGTACATTTCTGGGTGGGCAATTTCACCTCCTTAAAAGGGCTGTTAGTGTGCAGAAATATTCCAGCCTAGATGAAAAAGTGACCTAAAAGGTCACGGGGTTGGCTCCCTAGTTTTGAATTTTCTCATTATCCACCCGCATTTTTTTTTAGCAGATGCTTTATACAAAGTTTGGTCCTTGAAGGGGAGATCCCCACTAATCACCCCAGGTCTTTGCGTTGGTGGTTTTCCCCTATTTTGTGGGCCAAAAATTTGTTTTTTTCTCTGTGAAGATTTTTTTCCTCATGTTTTCCATTCTGATAATTGAAATTTCTCTCGTTGAACTTATATTTGTTTTCTCAGCCCCCTGAAAATTTGGTTGATGCTCCTGGAGCCTTGCAGTGTCTCAAGGAAGACATGTCATGCAGATTTGGGTGTCATCTGCAAAGGGGGAAAACCGGTGCTGTGGTGAATCCTTTCATGTCGGTTGAGGGTGAGGAACAAATGGGAGCGAGCTGGGCCTTGTGGAACAGAGTTTTTACCCTAGCTGTCGGACTTTACTCTTTGACGACTACTCTCTGTGTTCTGTTATGAGGGAAAATTTTGATCCCTCGACCGACTTTTCCCGTTATTCCCTTTGCACGCATTTTTGTGGGGGCTATTACGCCAGGTCACACTTGTCGAAGGCTTTTTCAAATCTGTTATATTATATCGCTTCTTTTTTCTTCTAGTGCATTTAGGGCCTTGTCGTGTGATCCCTTTTGGGATCCCTCCAAAGTGTTTATATTTACCCCAACTGCCTCCTCTTTTTGTTTAAAACCTTCACCCCTCTCTTCCCTTGTTCTATCTCCTTGTATCCCATCACCTTTACCTCAGTGTAGCACAACAGAAGGTGTTTATATATCGTGGCCCCCTATAAACAGTACACCCTGAAGTCTCCCCAACATTCTTTATCTACCAATATAAATCCAACAAACTACTGTCATTTCCCCCTACATATATCTTGTATACTTATTTATCCTCTTTTTCTTAAAAATGTATTACCTATAATAAACCCCTTTCATACAAATTTAAATCAAAGGGCCCCCCTTTATCATTTACCCGGGCCCCCCAAAACTACCTCCAAAACCCTCTCAAAAAATTCCTCCTATTTTAGATTAGGTCCCCTCCAAAATTACTCTCCCCTTTGGGTTTAAAAGGGCTCCTATACATTCACTTAACATCTCCCAAAATCTCTCTCTTCCCACTTTCCTCTTTTCTCCAGGGGCATACCGCTTATTATACCCCCTTTTCGCCCCAACCCTTTTCTTTTAAACCACATAATTCTTGAATTTACACATTCTATTCTCTTTTCTCCTTCCCTAACGACCTTCAACATT